CCTGGACCCCGCCGGGAGCGCTGTGAGGGTCATGTTTTTTGACTTCTCCAGCGCTTTCAACACCATCAGACCGGCACGGCTGCGGGGGAAGATAGAGGACGCGAGAGTGGACAGTCACCTCACTGCATGGACCATCAACTACCTCTCAGACCGACCACAGTATGTACGGCTGCGCAGCTGTGAGTCTGAAGTGGTAGTCTGCAGTACTGGGGCCCCTCAGGGCACTGTCCTCTCACAGTTTCTCTTCACCATATACAGTTTGGACTTCACATACGACACACACAGCTCTCACCGGCAGAAGTTCTCCGACAACTCCGCCATCGTGGGCTTTGTGTCTGAGGGGAACGAACTGGAACACCGGTCGGTTATCACGGACTTTGTCGACTGGTGTGAGAGTAACCACTTGTGCTTGAACACCAGCAAGACCAAAGAGATGGTAATCGACTACAGGAGAAAACCACTTTCCCAAAAGGTGCTGAACATCGAGGGAGAGGATATTGAGCTGGTGGACAGCTTCAAGTACCTGGGTGTTGACATTAACAATAAACCGGCCTGGTCCCATAACACCAACGCCCTGTACAAGAAGGGCCAACATCGCCTCCACCTTCTGAGGAGGCTGCGGTTCTTCCGGACTTTTTATGACTGTGGTTGCGTCTGCGATACACTACGCTGCAGTGTGTTGGGCCCCGGGCAGCACAGAGCGGGAGGAATAGACTGAACAAGCTGGTCAGGAGGGCCAGCTCCACTCTGGGCTGCTCCCTGGACTCTGGAGGAGGTTAGGGACAGGAGGGTGCTAGCTAAAGTCAACTCCATCATGGACAACACCTCCCACCCACTACACAGGACTGTAGAGGAGCTGAGGAGCTCCTTCAGCGGAAGACTGAGACACCCTCAGTGCAAGAAGGAGCCTTTATCCCCACTGCTGTCAGGCACTTGCACTAGGACAAAAAAAGGAAAAATAAAATCTGCACAACAATTTCTTTTTATTGTACAGTACGTAATATATATCCTGCATTTAACATGTTTGCACACTTATTTCTTTGCACAAATCTTGAGTGGTTCTATCCATGCCAGATGTGAAATGTAAATTTCTCCTGTGTGAGATTAATAAAGTCTATCTTATCTTGAACATCGATAACGGCAGATGTTTGCCTTGTTGACTACAATAGGGGGAAAGAAATTACATTCACTGATGGTAGGCGTGTGCGACAAGATACAGGGACATTTCAAAAAAGTCTGAAATGTCAGCCAATATACGCAAAGAGCTCCCCTTCACTATGGACATTTTTAATAAAATGCACAAAGAAAAAGCAGCGCACACACACATCTGCTCCTTTGCTCACACACACAACACGCTCTCGTATTGTATGAGCAGGTGAACGTGTGCTCTCCATACAGTGCATCACTACCATCCCTTTTCCCTTATCGGACTCACTCAGATTTAGACATTAGTTATTTGACAGCTCTGTAAAGTCTCTAAATCGCTTTCGGTGAAAATGCTACATACACTTGTAATAATCATAAAAGGTAAAGGTGCACTTTATTAATCCCCGTAGGGGAATTCATCCTCTGCATTTGACCCATCCTGATGCCGCAAAGGCTTACGTCAGGAGGAATGGTCGCCGTAGTACAGCGCCCGGGAACCCATCTCCAGATGTTGATGCTTGGCTTGGTCAGGACTGCCGGAGCTGGAGGATTTAACCTGGTGCGCATGTTTTTAGTGGTAGGGGAAACCGGAGTACCCGGAGGAAACCTACGCAGGCACGGGGAGAACATGCACTCCACTTAGAAAGACCCTTTTCCGACCAGGATTTGAACCCAGGACCTTCTTGCTGAGAGGCGAGAGTGCTATCCACTCAGCCACCGCGCCATCATGGGTCTATAATAATAACTGGATAGGGTATTACTAGCTTATAGCTGTCCCACCCATGGGCACAGGGGGCGCCCGTGGTACTGCAGACTAAATTCACATGGGCTACCCAGAAAAAAGTCCCATAGAAATCAATGCAAACTAAACCAGCTCAACGTCAGCTGACAGAGAACCTACAGCTTTTATAAAGATCGTATTTTGTGGGGATTTTAGTGTCCCTTGTCATCCTGAAAATGTTTTCTTCTTAAATCTTTCGGTTTTAAATCCACACATTACTGCCACAAACTCTGCTCGTTTCCTTCCTGCTCTGGCTCTGCTCGAACTCTGCTCTGATCACCAGCACTGATTGGTCAAAGCACGGCCGAGCCCCTCTGCGCACGTGCACGAGAGCCACACACGTGTATTTGGTGCAACACATCATGGGAGCTCGTCCACTACGCAGAACCGGGGGGACCAGACGATGCCAAAATATGGACGAGTTCTGCTAATCTTTCAATCTCCGTGAAGTCCCATGCTCTACTGAGCACAAGCCATTCATTTGAAAAGGGCGCCATCTTGGATCACCAGGGCTTGGTAATAATATATTTTTGAACAAGGAGCGGGAAAAAGTAAGAATTCTGCCAATAGACGGAAAATTCTTATCCCTGGGGGGGAAAGAAATTATTTACATACATATGTATATAACAAAAATTTAAAAACATCGGACATCGGCCAATAAACATCGGTATAAGCCCAAAATTTCACAATTGGTGCAATTTTGCAGTCTACTACTGCAGATACTAAATAATACTAAAGTTTTATGCAAACTACATATTTCGGAACTTTTCAGAACTTAAATTTCAATAAATATTGTTGAGTGCCATTTTACAATGTAGCAATCAAAACATCAGACGATAGTTTGCGAGTAAATGTTTTTAAGACATGGCAAATCTATGTAGTTAAACAGTAAAGTTAGGATAGTACAGGTGGTATGAATCACATACCAAATGCACCAGTATTGGGTTTCTTTACTGGCAGGAGAGGCTTACATATGAATTAAGTAGTGTTTAATTTTTCATGGGAGATTAAGCTCAAGCAGACAACTGCATGTAGAGTTCCAGGATCCAGGTAATGACTTTCTTGGTGGATCCAGAAAACAAAATAATCATTAAGGAAATCAATTGTAATTTTACAATCTACGCAAAGAGATTGCGTAGATTGTAACATTATTTTAAAACATTTGAGCATGCCTAATGCAATGTTGCTAGTACAGTAGGTTAAAAAAACAGGTGCATATCTTGCAAAAGACATAGAATGATGGTGATTTTGATCTGATTTTCAGTTACAAAACATAATGCAGATGAGATTGTGTCTAATAAATAAAACTATTCAACTATTTAATCTGTTGACAGCCATTTAAACAGATGTAAGAGTGAGATGCCAAAGTCAAAACATAAATGTGTTTGTGAAAAATACCGTTGCCGTTTACATTAAGGGGAATCAAGGGCATTGAGTGGAGAGATGGGTTAGCTTTTTGCTTATGGTGCTGAGCTGCAAAAGGGTCCATTTTGGGAAGTGCAAGATCCCGTCGGAATTCATTTGCTGTGTGTAAGAGCAGGGTGTGTTTGGAATAGAGGGGGAGAGAGCACGGGACAGATGTTTAGATCCTACAAACCATAAAACAAAATGATACAGGATTTGATGGCCACGGCTGGGAGCACAGAGATAAACACGTCGCTCAAAAAGAGTTCTGACTGAGTATACTTTATTGTATTGTTAAGTATTATTCCACATTTATCCAAACACTTCCTGTGTAAAGAAAGAGGGCCTGAGATTTATCTGTTATATACAGAATTAAAGTATAAAATGGAGTTGTATCTAACAAATGCATATTTATTCAAAGGTTTCTGAAATGTTATGTAACAAAGCTTGGGAATGCCAATAACGTCATTACTTCATTCTCAATGTGATATATTGCCATTAATTATTGGATCAATCAAAATATTATCCACCACCTCAAATCTCTTTTGGGGTGTGCATTGGCCCTCTGCTGTAACAATAGCATAAAGTAGCTCAGTGCTCACACGGTTCATATACTGAGTGACCTACATGCACACAATGTCCTAACCTGCCATGCTGCCGAGCACTGCACATCTACAGGCAGAACTAGACCTATTAGCTGAAGGCAGGCTGACAATCAAAGCAGCATTCTCTATAAAAACTGAGATAATCAGTGACAGTAGAGGAAATGTTTCAGCGGGGGGAAATATAATGACAAATAATTAGAATTGAGTTATCTTTATAGACCTTTATTTAACCACTGAATTCCACAGAGATTGAAAAATCTCTTTTTCAGGCGTGTCCTGTCCCCAGAGAGAGCCATTTATTTAAAGATGCTGTTGGAGACTAGTCAATAACATGTCTTGCATAGTTATACAGATTACTCATGCATGCATTGTTCATACACTACGCAAAAACATTTAAAACCTAATATCCTTTTATATTGAAAATGTTGCTGACAAATGTTTGATAGAGGAAGTGAAACATGATCAGACTTCTGGACGAGAGCTCAAAAAAAAAGTGCAGTGCTGTATGCATACACAAGCTGCAGGCAAAGGCTTATGTGCTGCTGATAGAAATACTGACAATGTTTCGCAATGTCCAAGCAGAACTGTGTTTATATATGCATGAGCTGAAAATCCTACAGCTTTTACAATTTGTTCAATTCTGATTGTATAGACATCTCTCGACCAGACATTTCTCGTCAAAAAAAAAAAAAGGCAGAGAAGGAGCTTTTTGAGACACAATCATGTACTTCCTTAATGGGATAATTATCTATTCCTTTGTTAGAGCAAGTATGAATTGTGATTGTCAAATATTGAGTGTGTTTTCACTTTGTGTACAATATGTATTGTTGTAATGCACACTAATCCCCACAGTTTCCAAAGAGGCTGCAGCGACAGGCCTGCCCTTGTGTTTATTTCTGGAAGCTCACAATATGGCCGACATGTGCTTTGTTGTTGTTAGAACATCATCAAATCTAATACCATTACGCAAGTTTTTATTTTTAATAAATTCACACAGATGAATATGTCGTTCTAATGGTTTGGATATAATTGTAATAAACAACATTTCGACTCAATGTACTCACCATTTGATGATGATGGCCATATGGAATATTCGTTTCTTGAAAAAACGTACTTAGGGCAGTCTACAATGAAATAGAAGGAAAATATTTAATATTTCAAATGGGATAATAACAAACGTTAAAATGTTTTTGATCAATCACGCACGTAATATTTTGGCGATTTAAATAATAACAGTGACATTCCAAGATTGCGACAGGTAATAAACAAACCAAAGAGAACACTCGATACCGCGGCAGTCTGCTCCATTGCGTAATAGCACGCGCTGGCCTCGCCTGTTCACTGCTGTCATGTGTCGGATTATAGTATTTAATCTAGAGTAAATCTAATTGGGTGTGCTAGCGGTAACATAGCTTCATGTGGCCTCTGTGAAATGTCATGTCTACAACATAAAAACGGAATGCTACATGGGGGGCGCATAAGTTTAGTGCTTGGGTAAGGAGTCAACGGGGCATTTGCACATGTTTAACTAGCACACAAACCCCATACTGTCCAAAGACCTCGGAAGCGACGACAGAGCCAAGAGGATTCTGTCAAACCTTGCTACCTCCAAAATAAAAACAATAGCAATACGGCTAACATTAGCATGTCGACTCCAGCAGCGCTGCTTGTTCCTCTTTACCTCAAACTGCCAATGTGCTGCTTGCAAAAGCTGCTTCGCTTGGTCTGCCGCACAGCCCGCCGTCAGGACGAACTGGTTAATCATGACTTGATGTTTAAGTTCATCCATTTTCGACGCTCTCCGTGTCCTTCTCGCGGCGGCTGACTCTCAGGCAGACTTTCGACCCCTTTTCTTCTTTCGAGTTGTATTCCTTTTCACTGCTCAGTCTTCCACCATTACAGCCGGTCGAGCAAACACAAATATTTACTGTAGGAGAGGCAGTGGGAGGGATGGACGTTGATGGACAGAAGATTCAGCCAATCACGGGAGAGCAGCGTTGGTGGAGCTTGTTTCCCACGAACCAAGGAGTCTCGGCTGGGGGCTTTAATCATTTCACTCAGTTCCAATCTACTAGTGAAGCGCTTATTTGTATCGCGTGTTTGACTTTTTTACACTTGTTCCAGAATTTTAGATAGTATAAGACGTTTCTAATCCACAAAACGCAACATATGCTGTGGGAGTGCCTGAAAATAGGTTTGTTTTGGACTACAACTCCCATGAGCACACTCTTTGTTTGTAATGCCACGGAGGGAAGACTTTTGTGAATGACGGCAGCATTCGACCAATTCCCATGCGCACTGTGTCATTTCGTTGCCAAATATGGTAAACAAATTCAGCATCCCAATTGACATTTAGGGTCAGAGGCACGTTAATAAGCGATATAGATTCTATTAATATTATATATATTGGGGGCAAGATTTGTGTTAGTCTATGGTTGTACTTAAAACGAACTCTGTTCACGTTAGCATATGCTACTTCCGGGAGGATCAGTCCCGTTCCGGTCGGCACTAGATCATAGGCCCCGTCCCAATCGGTCCCAATACCCACACTGCACCCTACACACCTCTACGAAGTGTGCATTTGTTCGAAGTGCACACCAGGGTTGGAGTGCGCAGGTTACAAGTGTGCAAAAAAGGCGGAATTGGGACAGTGCACACTGAGAGCAGGTGACGTCATCGACTCGTCAAGAGATGGTCATTTTCAGACCTAAACTTTATAAACATTAAAAGTCATTTTGTCTGACCCTTTGGGAAACAAATTGAATTGCTTCACACACGTTAAAATACATCTATATTAGTTGTTTTTAATTAGAGATAGCTGTATAATTTTAAGTTAAATGTGGGTAACTAACTATCTGGTCAGTTTTTATACATTCTAAGATTATTGTACTAAGTTTAAATTGAATGTTATATAAACGCTTGCTTTAAAATGTATTAAATTGTTAAAACACAATGTCCGTAATTCTTCATCAGACGTTTATGCTTCTTTCTAAGTAACATAGCAAAACTTATTTACACACATACTGCATATATATTTCAAAATTTGCATTTTCCTGACGTTTTGGTGAGTACCGCAAAGAATTATGGGCAATATCCTTCGCCAGAGTGCGCATAGATGCAGGCTACGGTGAAGTGTGGATCAGGGGCGCAAAGGGGGCGGGGCCAGAGACCTCCCTGGAGAATTGGGACATCCTACGCACTCGCACACTTTATCGGGAACGCGCAAATGAGGGGCGCGAGGGTGGAAGTGCGAGTATTGGGACGGGGCCATATACGGAATCGGGACGGAAGCGGAAGTAACAATCTTATGGTCGGTGTCACTCCCGTATTCGTCCCGGAAACCGGATTCGTCCGGAAGTTCAGTTTGATCCAATGAGCAAACGCAGCAGTAGATTACGTCACGGAATCTGGACGGAAGCGGCAGTAAATATAAAAAACTACCTATTCATGCCTAAACTTAACCAGCCATTCCCATAAAATAACCCCAACCCAGCCTTAACCCTAAACTTAACCATCTTAATCAGACGCCTAAACTTAACCAGTCACCACTTAAGGACATATTAAACTTTTTGACATGCGCAAACGGAACTTCCGGACAAATCCGGTTTCCGGGACGAATACGGGAGTGACAGTCGGCACTAGATCATATACGGAATCGGGACGACACCGGAAGTAACAATCCTACTTTCGAATTAGTTTTAGACTAATAAGTCCTTAAGTGATGACTGGTTAAGTTTTAGGCGTCTGAGTAAGATGGTTAAGTTTAGGGTTAAGGGTGGGTTGGGGTTATTTTATGGGAATGGCTGGTTAAGTTTAGGCATAAATAGGTAAATTGTTATATTTACTTCCGCTTCCGTCCCGATTCCGTATATGATATAGTGCTGACCACAATCTTAAAGCGGCCCTTCAAATTGTATTACTTTTGAATTAGTTTTAGACAGTAAATCATGGATCCATAATAATGAATGCAAAAACACATAGAATATAAAAAAGGATTAACTATAAAAATCACATAACGGTAGTGTTATTCAGTTATACGAAAACTATTAATAATATAAAGCTCTTTGGGCCGTGACCTATCGGGAATGTGCGTGCGGTGTAGTGGTCATGTATGAGGTCTGTCTTATGGGCGTATGGGGTTCAATTCATTTTCTTATGTGTTTTTTTTTTTCATATTTTGAGTGCACAGTGAGCACCACGCAGTCTTTTTATTTCTATTTTTTTAACATGGTAAATAATGGTAAACTTGTTTTTTTCTACTATTCTATATTATATGTACATGTATTTGAGTATAACAACAACAACACTCAAAATACATGAGTGTACTCATGTACATAAATACAATTTAATTCAAATATCACAAAAAAAAGCTTTTAAGAAGGTGCTATTCATACATACATTCACATGCTAAATCCTACATACATAGATTTATATAACAGCACTCAAAATACACATGGCATTTAATTAAAATATCACAAAAAACTTTTAAGAAGGTGCTATTCATATATACATTCACATGCTAAACTCTACATAAATGGATTTATATAACAGCACTCAAAATACACATGGCATTTAATGTGGCACCTTGAATGTTGTCTTCATTTCCTCTGCCTTTTCTCCCACACGATTCGTATATTTGTTTTTTCTTTTCCCAAATAACCTCATAGGTATCTTACCAAGCTTTTTAGAGGGAAGAGTCTTTTCCTTTCTTGGTGACTTGTTCTCCTTTGGAATGTCATTCAGGGTTGGGTTCTCCTCACATTGACCAACATTTCTTGAAATTCCTTTTGAAAGTTTTGGAGGATTTGCTCATCCTGGATAAGGTACATTGAGTCAATCATCCCCTTCAGATGAATGATGCACATTTCTCTAGCTCGGTCAGATGTATGCTTTCTCTTTCGACCTGGTAGTTTGTCATATCTGATCTCAGAGTTTGCGTTAGTGGTTCCTGGTTCTGGCATAGAGTTTACTGGTGTTGTGGCATCATCATTGTCATCATCAGCTTCTGGGATGGTTGTACTTGTACCAGTGCTGTCAGCTGGAGCCACTTTTGTATTTGCAGGGGTGTTACACCCACTTATAACATCTTGATCCAGGGTAAAAATTGGGTTATCACGATTACACTCACCCAATTTGTCCCAACCAATTCCTGGCATTTGTAGAACAGCACACATGTGCTTACAAGGCAATTTGTACCTATGCCAATCAGGACAGGTACAATAAGGAGGCTTGTTAGTATCACCAAGCCATAGGGAGTGCACACCTTTTGTCTCCTCATTTGTCACTTGAAATCTAGTAGACATCACATCCAATGTGAGAATGTTTTCCCTGGGAATGGTAGCACTCATTCTCTTCATTAAGTGGTCAACCATGTCCTTGGGTCGATTGTGTAGATATTTTGGAACAATATTGCTGTACCGTCTATACTGTAGCCATCAGAGCAGCGAATGTTCATTTCTTCATATCTGGAAAAGAGATATAATTATAGTGTTGTACATTTTTCTCTTTTACAAGAAAAATGTTCAGCGCTTACTTTCTAAAGGTATCTGGGATAAACCGATCCACTAGTACTGTAACAAGCTCACTTATACTGCAGTTTTTATATCCTGCCAGATATGAAGCCTTCAACCATACATTTTGCCTTTCGATACCGTTGTTTGTGTGGATGGCAATGTAGAGACTTTCTTCCCGAAATGCACGGACCCAACGCTGAAAGAATATGTAGAATCAAATTAAAAGAAAGTAAGTAAAGAAAGAAAGTTTCAATTCAAATTGTTCAATTGAAATTGAAAATACAGAGATAAAATGACAAACAAATAACAGAATGATATGCATTCGGATAGGGTTAGGGTTACATTCAATAATTCAACACCTAATCCCAGGGATGAGAAACAATCAGAGAAAATAGTCAGAGAAAACCTACCTCACGCTGAATTTCCCAGGTTTTCTCATAATAATTCCTGAACGTCTCATTTTCTTCCCAAATTGTTGAAGATTTGTGTAGAGTAGCATGATGATTGTAGAGATCTTGTGTGGGACTACTAGCGATATTTCTGAGAAAACTGAGGACTTCCTTACTCATGTGGGACAATCCATGATTTTTCTTGCTTATCCATTCATTCCAGGCTTTCTCTCTGTGGAAATCACAGATCAACACCTTTGTACCTGGGAAAAAAATACATGTACAATTACATTAATTGTGAAGTACGCCATCTGAATTCAGCATTTCATGTTGAAATAAATAATATAAAATTGTATAATCCACAATGGCCATTTGATCAATTTTACAGGAAGGATGAAGGAATATTTCATATATATTTCATATACTGATATGCAAATTATCAGTATATGCAAATTACAACTCAAGCCATCATTGAACCAATCATGTATTCTCTGGTTAGAACTGATAGAAAGAACTGATAGAAAGAGATTCTGATCATCTAAACAACAACTCTTTTGGGAAAAATATAAATTACTGCATTAGAAATTTGCTGCCTTATTTTCCTATTGGTTTTATAGAAATCTGAACTTTCTCTAATTGTTACCTGGAAAGCAAGACTCCAAAGCATTTATCTCAGGTAGACTGTAGTCCACCATCATGTTCTTGGGTTTCCAGTTAGGATTGGTATCCTTGAGCAGAGTCAGTGCCTCAGTTAGTGACTCTGTGTCTTCATTGTGAGTGATGAAGGTCGCCACGACTGAGTAACAGACATTTGTTCGTACACAAATGAAGAATAAAGGCAAGGCATAACTGTAAGAAAATATTTTAGCAGTCAATTAGAAGCAACA